TCGGCGCTGCCCGCTCGGCTTCCTTCGGCCTCGCTCGTCTCGGTTCGGCTTCTCTCGGCTCGGTTCGGCCCCGCTGGGATTCCCTCGGTTCGGCTCCGCTTGACTCTGTTCGGTTCGGTTCGTCTGGGCCCGGCCCTGCCCGGTCGCCGCCGCACCGGGCCCGGTAACGCTCCGACCCCATCCCCGGTCCAGGCCCGAGCCCAGTCTCGGTAACGCCCCGGGAGGAAGGGGGGAGGGAGGGAGCGAGCATCCTCCGCCGCTCCGTCCGCAGCACGGCCGGGACCGGGGGCGGGGGGGGAGCGTGGCCGGGGGGAGCAGCAGGAGCCCCGGGCCAGACGTGCCCCGGCTGGGCCGTGACAGTGGGGACATGTCGTGACAGTGGAGACAGAGCCACCCCGCACCGTGACCTGGTGGGCAGTGACCCAGGGACACCCTGTGACCCCAGGAGCAAACCCCCCGAGCCGTGACACTGGGGGAGCACCGGGGCACAAAGCCATTCCATGCCGTGACACCGAGGGAGCACAGCTGCCCCAGCAGTGATGCTGGGTGCACGCCACGGCACTTGATGACAGCGCTGTGACACCAAGCACCATGGCACCAGGTGAGCAGCCAGACCAGCACGTGCTGTGACACCGGGGGGACCCCACGCCTGGCAGGTGCTGTGACACTGGGTGACCAAACCACCCTGTGCCATGACTCTTCTGTGAGCCTTGAGCCTGGCACGTGCTGTGACACTGGTGGACCAAAGCCAACCTGGACTGTGACAAGTGATCAGCCAGCCTCGCACCTGCCACCGGGTGACCAAAGCCACCTTGGACTGTGATAGCAAGTGACCAAGCCTCTGCACCATGACACCTGGTGAACCCTCAGCTTGGCACCTGCTGTGACTGAAAGCCACCCTGTGCAGTGACACTGGGTGACCAAGCCACTCCACATCATGACACCATGTGACTGAAGCCCCCCCACTCTCCACGCTGCGTTGTCCCCGTCATGCCACCATCCCGTCAGTGCGTGGCCATGCGTGTCCCCATGCTGTCCCTGCTGCTGGCGCTGTCCCTGCTGTCCCCGTGGGGGTCTGCGGCCGGGAGCTGCCCCCCGCGCTGCGTCTGCGCCTCCAACCTGCTCAGCTGCTCTCAGGCCAACCTGAGCGCGGTGCCGGCGCCGCTGCCGCGCTTCACGGCCGTGCTGGACCTGAGCCACAACAACGTGACGCGGCTGCGCGCGGACTGGGCCCCGGCGCGGCTGCCGCACCTGCACGCGCTGCTGCTGAGCCACAACGGGCTGGCCTTCGTGTCCACCGAGGCCTTCGCCCACGTGCCGCGCCTGCGCCACCTCGACCTGTCCTCCAACCGCCTGCGGACGCTGGACGAGAACCTGTTCAGCGACCTGGGCGAGCTGGAGGTGCTGCTGCTCTACAACAACGAGATCGCCACGGTGGATCGCACGGCCTTCGAGAACCTGGGCCGGCTGCGCAAGCTCTACCTGGGGCAGAACCGCATCGCCCGCTTCCCGCTGGAGCTGCTCCGGGAGGGCACCCGGCTGCCGCAGCTGGCGCTGCTGGACCTGTCGGCCAACCGGCTGCGGGCCGTGCCCGCGGGCGAGCTGCAGGCGCTGCCCGCCTGGCTGCGCGACCGCCTCTACCTGCACAACAACCCCCTGGCCTGCGACTGCCTGCTCTTCCAGCTGCTGGACCGCGGCCGCCGCCGCCACCTCAGCGCCGTGGAGGATTTCCAGGATGAGCTGCGCTGCTTCCCGCCCGGAGCCACCGCTCTCGTCAAGATCCTGGAGCTGGCGGGCAAGCCGCCTCTCAACTGCAGCAAGGCACGGGAGGCCGTGCTGGAGGCGCACCTCGGGGACAGCGTGACGCTGGGCTGTGACAGCCGCTGGCAGGGCGTGCGCAGCCGGCACTGGGTGACCCCGGGCGGGGAGCGGGTGCTGGGGGACGGGGGCAACGGCAGCGTGGTCCTGCTGGCCAACGGCAGCCTCCAGCTGCGGGCGCTGCGCCCTGAGGATGCCGGCACCTACTCCTGCTGGGTGGCCGGACCCCTCCTCAACGAGACCCTCTACGTGGAGCTGCTGGTGCACAACTTCACCCTGCACGGCCCCCACGACACCCTGAACACGGCCTACACCACTCTGGTGGGCTGCATCCTGAGCGTGGTGCTGGTGCTCATCTACCTGTACCTCACCCCGTGCCGCTGCTGCTGCTGCCGCGGCACCGAGAAGCCGCCGGCGCCACGCGACGACAGCATCAACTCCTCGGTGCTGAGCACCACCCCGAACCACGCCGGGGGCACCGGGGAGCCCTGCGGGTCCCACATGGCCTCCAGCGCTGGCACAGGGCAGAACGGCCGGTTCAAGGGCGGGGGGACCCCCCCGCTGCCCGCCCGGCAGGGCCCCAAGGCGCAGAGGAAGGTGTCGGATCCAGACTCGGTGAGTTCCGTCTTCTCCGACACGCCCATCGTGGTGTGAGGGGACGCTGTGGGGACAGTCCCCAGGGACACCCCGTGTCAGCCACTGCAAGCTGTCCCTGGGCAGGAGGGGTGGCCAGACGCCCACTGCCGTGTCCCCAGCTTGGGGGGTCACACCATCACACCCCAGGACTGAGCATCGCTGCTGGCCCCACCGAGGTCACCGACACCATGGGACAGTGAGGGACTAAGATGTGACACACACTTTGGGGATGGTCTCCCACCACAGTGACCTGTCCCTGGGCAGGAGAGTTGTCCAGAGTCCCACCACCATGGCTCCAGCTTTTGGGGGTCCCATCATCACCCCCAGGACTGAGCATCGTCCCACACCCCCACTGAGGTCACAAGGGACCGTGAGGGACACAGGGTGTGAGGAGACACACCATGGGGACAGTCCACTGGGACACCCTGTGTTCCTACTGCTGCTGTCACCTGTTCCCCATGGACACGCCACGGGCAGAAGGGGTGGCTGGACCCCTACTGCCATGTCCCCAACTTGGGGGGCAACACCATTGCCTCCCGGGACAGAGCATCACTGCTGGCCCGCACCCAGGTCACTGTTCAGCTGCAAGGGACAAGGATGTGACACCATGGGGCAGTCCCCCACTGTCACCTGTCACCAGGCAGGAGGGGTGGCCAGACCCCCCCCATGTCCCAGCTTTTGGGGGTCCCACCATCACCCCCCAGGACTGAACATCATCCCTGGCCCCTGCTGAGATCACTGAGGGACTGCGAGGGACAAGGGTGTGAGGGGACACGCCATGGGGAGTCCCCAGGGACATCCCATGTCCCCACTGCCACTGCGAGCTGTCCCCAGGCTGGAGGGGTGGCTGGACCCATCACTGTGTCCCCAGCTTTTGGGGATCCCACCATCACCCCCCAGGACTGAGCATCGTCCCTGGCCCCTCCCACGGTCACCGGGGGACTGCAGTGGACAAGGGTGTGAGGGGACACGCCATGGGGACAATCTCCTGTTGTGACCTGTCCCTGGGCAGGAGGGATGGTCAGACTCCCACCACCGTGTCCCTCGTTTTTGGGGGTCCCACCATTGCCTCTCAGGACTGAGCATGGCTGCTGTCTCCTGCAAGCTCACCGCAGGACCCCAGGGACACGTCTCTGTGAGGACAGCGTGGCCACCAACTGCAGGGCATCAGCCCCACCAGGCACTGGAGGACTGAGGGACAGTGACAGACAGCTGTGAGCCCCCAGGAGCGGCAGCACCGGGCAGAACCCCTCTCCTGCAGCCCCGGCCCCCCCATTCCCCCTGCCCCCTTGGCATGTGCATGGCCAAGCATGAGTCCTCCGGGGAGCATGTGCCACCCCCATGGGGACACCGGGGGTGTGTCAACCCCCTGGGGAACCCCCAACACCTCCTGACCCCCTGCAACCCACAGCTGCAAGCAGAGCCCCCTCTCCCGCAGGGGGTGGGACCCGGGGGCCCTTGCACCCCAAAAAGGAGGTGCCCCCTCCCATGGGTGCCCATGGGTGTCCCCATGCCAGCCCAGCCTGTGTCCCCCGTGCCCCCACGCCGGACATCCCCCCCCCTGCACCGGGCAATGCCCACCGATGCCTTGGCCAAAATAAACGTGTTTCCCTCGTGCCTGTGCAGCTTTCACCCGCCCTTGGGGGGCTCCCAGGGGTGTCCCCTTGCTGCCCTGGGGGTGGGTTGGGGACAGGTGACAGTGCTGGGGGACTCCCCGGGGTGAGGCTGGGTGGGGGGCCCTGCTGCCCTTCCCACCCCATCGGGGGGGTGAGTTAGGGGGGGCAGGGGGAGGCACTCCGGTGACCCCAGTGTGCCCACCCAGGGTCCCTCTGACCCCGACACGCTGTGCTGGGACGGGCTTCTGGGCCCCCCCTATGGCCAGCCCCTGCTCACCCCCAGCACCCCAATGACCCCACTGACACCCCTAGCACCTCAATGACCCTCACGGTCCCCCACCTGCCCTCCCAGCACCCCAAAGATCCCCTGTGGTCCCCAGTACCTGCCCTTTAACCCCCCCAGCACCCCAATGACCCTCCCAGGACCTCCCCGCTTTACTGAGGCCACCCCAAAGCAATTCACTGATCTCCCCAGCCCCTTAATGACCCACTGCCCCCCAAGTCCCCAAAGACCCTTTATGGTCCCCTGTAGCCTCCTAGGACCCCAATGAACCCCACTCACCCTTATGAGCCCCCACCTGCCCCCTGAGCACCCCCAAAACCTCCTGTGGTCCCCAGTATGCCCCCATCCATTCACTGAGCCTCCCCAGCACCCCAGTGACCCCATTTACCACCACCCAGCACCCCAGAGAACCCCCAGAATCTCAGTGACCCCACTGACCACCTCCCAGCCCCCCAAAGACCTTTATGGGGCCCTGCCCACCCTGCAGCACCCCAAAGACCCCCTATAGTCCCAGTAAGCCCCCCAGCACCCCAGTGACCCTCTCAGCCTCCCAGAGACCCCTATGAACCCCTGCCCAGCCCCACAGCCCCCTCAGCACCCCAAAGACCCCTTTTGCTCCCCAGTTAAAAACAGCAACAACCGTTTCTTATAAATATCCGCGGCCGACGGGGCCCCGGGAGGTCCGGGGGGGTCCCCAGAGCCGCCCCCCCCCTCCGGGGGCTGGTTTAGCAGCAAGAGAACAGAACTGAGAGTTTTGAGGTATTTTCTGGAAGTTTGGGATTTTTCCTTCGTGTTTCCTTGGGATTTTTTTTTTCCCTCTTCATCGGTTTTCTGGCGTTTCCCGGTGGGGAGGACACAGCAGGGCCCCCGGTGACCCCTCTGTTAATGGGCTTTGGACTGCAGGGGGGAGAGGGGACGAGTCAGTCCTACACTGGGGACAGGGGACCCGCAGGGACTCTCCACAGGCTTAGGGGAGCCCCACGGTGTCCCCAGGCTTGGGGAGGTCCTCAGGGTGTCCCCCACAGGACAGAATGTCCCCCCACAGGACCGGGTGTCCCCCACAGGACAGGGTGTCCCATACAGGACAGGGTGTCCCCCCACAGGACAGAATGTCCCCCCACAGGACCGGGTGTCCCCCACAGGACCGGGTGTCCCATACAGGACAGGGTGTCCCCCCACAGGACAGGGTGTCCCATACAGGACCGGGTGTCCCCCACAGGACCGGGTGTCCCCCACAGGACAGGATGTCCCCTACAGGACAGGATGTCCCTTACAGAACAGTGTCCCCCACAGGACAGGATGTCCCTTACAGGACAGAGTGTCCCCCCACAGGACAGAGTGTCCCGGTGCTTGCCCCCTCCAGCCCATGCTGGAGTGTCCCCCCCGGGACAGGGCATCTCTCAGGGCCCAGTGACCCCAATCCCAGCGTTCCCCATCCCTGCTGGTCCCAGTGACCCTCAGGGGGGTCCCCCAGGGTCACCACCCACCCCCCTCCCCAGCCCTACCTTCAGGGCGCTCCTCTTCTCCTCGAAGCCCAGGGGCGTCCCCGGCTTCTTCCTGCGGACGGAGCCCCCCGAGCCGGAGCTGCCGGAGCCGGGGGGCGCGGGGGGCCCGGGCAGGGGGGGCGCTTTGGCCTTCAGGGCTCGGCAGTAGGTGGCCGCGTTCTTGCGCTTCTTCACCTCATCCTCGGAGAGCCCCCGGGGGGGGGCCCCCAGCCCCAGCCCGTGCAGCGGCGGCGTTTGGGGGTCCAGGGCAGCGGGGGGGGCACGGCAGGGCTGGCCGGGGGGCGGCCGGCGCACCCGCGGGGTCCCGTTGAGGATGGCGATGGAGGGCGAGGCCGGGGGGGTGAGTTTCGTCTTGCCGGGGGGAGCCAAGCCCTGATTTTTGCCCTTGACGCTGTCCCCCAAACAGGTCCGTTTGTAGGGGGGGCTGCCGGCCGTGGCGGGGGGCTGCCAGGGCCGGGGCTCCGCGTCCGTCCCGCCGGACGCCTCCCGTGCCCGGGGGGATTTGCTGGCCTTGCTGGGGGGCAGTTTGCTGAAGGAGGGCGAGGGGGTGTTGGCGGGGAGGGGGGAGGTGATGGACTGCGTGCCCCCTCCCCCGCACTCGGGCTGGCTGCAGGCGGCCGCCGCCGGGGGCGACCCCACGGTGTAGGTGAGGCTGGTGGGGACCCGGCAGCCCCCCGCCGCCGAGAGGGTCCGGAGGGGCGGGGAAGGGGCTGCAGGGCCGTAAAGGGGGGCAGCGGGGCTGGGGGGCGCTGCGGGGAGGTGAAGAGCGGGGACGACGGCTGGAGGGATCTTCCTGTGGGAAGGGAGGGGGAGGGTGAGATGGGGAGCCCCCAAAACCCCTGCTCCCAACCACATCCCCACAGTTCAGGAGAGAGAGGTGAGTTGGGACCTCTCCAAATCCTCATTGCCATCCCTCCAGCTCCACCTTATCCTCCCCAGTTCAGGTGTGGAAAGGTGAGATGGGAGCCCCCACAAATCCTCACTCCCAGCCCTGCAACCCCACCTTGTCCCCCCGAGTTTGGCTGGGAAGGGGTGAAATAGGACATCCCCTCAAATCTCCATTACACCCCAATTCAGGTGAGGAGGGGGTGAACAGAAGCCCCCCCCCCCCCCCCCCCCAGTCTCTGGTCTCAATCCTGCATCCCCATCTCGTCTTTCCCAATTTGGGTGAGAAGGTGGTGAAATGGGACTACTCAAATCCCCATTCCCATCTTTGTCCCCCCAGTCCTTCCTGATTCAGGGAGGGAGGGGGTCCCAAATCCCCACTCCCATTCCTCCATCCCCACCTTATCCTCATCAGTTTGGATCAGAATGGGGTGAAACGAGACCCCCTCATTTCCCACTCACATCCCTGCACCCCCACCCTACCCCGCTCACTTTGAATGGAGTGGGGTACAACAAGACCACCCAAATCGCCACTCCCTTCCTCCCACCCCCAATCCCAACACCACGCTGGGACCCCGGGGATCCCAAACCCCAGGCTTGGTGCCCTGGGCCCCCCTCACCTCCACCTGTGTGCGCTGAGGTGCTGCTCCAGCATGGAGCCCAGCGCGGCGCAGAACCGGTCCAGCCGTCGGTCGAACACGTAACAGCCCGGGGTCACCAGGCGGCTCCCGAAGGTGCAGAACTGGGGGGGCACCGTGCCAGGGTCACTGCAGCCCCCCACACCCCCACCTCAACCACCCACCCGGCACGGAGCCAGGAACAGGACACGGGGATGGAGCTGGTGGAGCTGGGGGTCCCTGTCCCATGCTGGGGTCTCACATGGATGGGTCACTGGTGGAGCTGGGGGTCTCTGCCCCACTCTGGGGTCTCACATGGATGGGTCACTGATGGAGCTGGGGGTCTCTGCCCCACTCTGGGGTCTCACGTGGATGGGTTGCTGGTGGATTTGGGGGTCCCTCCCCACTCTGCAGTCTCACATGGATGGGTCAGTGGTGGAGCTGGGGGTCTCTGCCCCACTCTGAGGTCTCACATGGATGGGCTGCTGGTGGACTTGGGGGCCCCTGCCCTGCTCTGGGGTTTCACATGGATGGGTCACTGGTGGATTTGGGGGCCCTGTCCCATTCTGGGGTCCCCTCACTCACCGCCTGAGGCCGTGGTGGGCGCACTGGGGTCCGGGGGGGCTCCTCGCCCCCCTCCTCCTCGCTCTCCTCGCTGGACACGCGGCTGCCCCCCTTGGGCAGGGGGAGAGGGAGGCCTCCTGTGTTCCCCTCCCCAGAGGTGGCAGGAGCATCCTCAGGGTCACTGGCAGAGGAAAGGCGGGCCCTGCACCAGAGTTTTGGGGTGGTGGATACTGGGGGGGCACTGTGAGAAAATATCCAGCCCCCTCCAAATCTCTGTTCCCACCCACATTCCCCCAAATTCAGCTGGTGAATGGGACCCCCCAAATCCCTGTTCCAAACCACATTCCCCCAAATTCAGCTGGTGAATGGGACCCCCCAAATCCCTGTTCCAAACGACATCCCCCCAGTTTAGGTGGGGAGGATGTGAGATGGACCCCCCCCTAAATCCCCACTCCCATTCCTGCCCTTTCAGTGCATCTCCCCCAATTCAGGTGGGGAAAGGCGAGACGAGACCCCCCCAAATCCATGGGGTACTCACCTGGGGGGGTGCAAGCAGTGGGACAGCCTGGCTCGGCAGGGAGGGGTATTGGGGGGCTGCAGCAGTGAGGGGGTGTCCTGCAGGGCAGGGTGCAGTGGGTCCTTCTCAGGGGGGCTCCTGTCTTTCGGGGGGTCCCCTCGGCGGGTGCTGGCCTTGAGCTCGGCCACCAGCACATCGAAATCCTTGGCCCGGCCCTGCACCTCCCGGCGCTGGTGCACCGAGTGGATCTGGGCGACAGCAGGGAGGGGCTCAGGACACCCCAAAACACCCAGGCTGGGATATTGGGGTGTCCCCTCCCCATTTTCCACTACCTTGCAGGTCAGCAGGCGGGTGCAGAGCTTGTTGGTGTCGGGGTTCCGCACCCCACACTGCCGGTTCAGGTCACACTCCTTACCTGGGGGGACATGGAGGCAGAGGGTGCTGGGGAGTGCTGGGGGGGCACCCCAACACCCCCCACTAGGGCTGGGCATGGAGCACCCACTCCTCGGAGCAGCTCTGAGGGGGGGACACAGCCCTGAGAAGTGCTGAGAGGGTGGGAAGGGATCACCATGTGCTGCTCCCTCCCCTTTTTACTCCTCTGCAGGGTGAGCCCCCCACCTCTTTTGCCCCTTCCCTGGGGTGACCCCCTAATTTTCACCTGGGTCTTGCTAATGGCATTGCTATCACTTGGGAGACTCTGTGGGCACAGCAGCAATCGGCTCTGGTATTTTGGGCGCAGGGGGCACATGTTTGACTCCCATATTTTGGGGAATATGTGTCCAACACTAATCTTAGGCGTGACATATGTCCAAACCCCATATTTTGGGGGGGCACACATCCAAACTCCGTATTTTGGGGTGACACACACATTTGACACACATATTTTGGGGTGATACACGTTGGACCCCCATATCTGGGGGGCACATGTGTTATACCCCCATATTTTGGGAGGGACAACATATTTGGCCCCCATATTTTGGGGGGATATGGGTTCAGCCTCCATATTTTGGGATGACACAAGTCCAACCCCCGTGTTTTGGGGTGACACATGCCTAACCCCCATATTTTTTGGGGAGATGTGTTCAACCCCCACACTTTCAGAGGATACTCATTTGACCCCTGTATTTTGGGGGGACACACGTTTCACCCATGTATTTTGGGGGAAACATATGTTTAACCCCCATATCTTGGGGGACCACCTATTTAACACCTGTATTTTGGGGTGACACATTTGACCCCCATATTTTGGAGGGATACACGTCCAAAACCCGTATTTTTGGGGGGACATATATTCAACCCCTCTCTTCTGGAGGACACGTATTCAACCCCCATATTTTGGGAGGAATGCACATTTGAGGGGTCACATATATTTTTGGGGGTCACATATCCAATTCTCACGTTTTTGTGGGGGACACAAGTTCAACCCCCATATTGTGGGGGACACATGTTTTACCTCCATATTTTTATGGGGGACACGTTTGACCCGCACTTTTGGAGGAACACAAAAGGAGGATGGGGATCCATCCTCAACTCCCGCCCTTGCTGTGCCCATTCCTTGGGAGCAGCCAAGTGGGGACCCTAAACGTACAGGCTGACCAGAACCGGGGGGAGGGCAGGGACCCCCCAACAACCCTCCAGAGGAGAGGGGGGAGCCACTCCCCTGGTACCTACCCCACTGCTAGACCCGGCCACCGGAATTCCGGCCCCAGGAAGTCCCGCTGGGATCATCCGCCCCCCCCCACGGCCAAGGAAAGGGGGGACTCACGCGCCAGCTTCCTGTGGGACCTGGGGGGCGCTTTGGGGGCCCCCACATCCTTGTCCCCCGGAGCAGGGACGCTCTCCGGCATGGCCGAATCCCCCCCGACCCCGGCGGGCACCGGGGGCTCTTTGGGCACCACGGCAGCCGCGGGTTTCCCCAGGGATTCCTTGGAGTTGGTGGGGACGGCTTTGGGGGGCACCTTGATCCCGTGCCCGTCCGGTTTGGGAATGCTGGGAATCTTCTCCAGGTTCACCACGGGCACAAACAAGCTGTGGAGAGAGTTTTGGGGAGGAGGGGGTGGCATCGAAGTGACCCCACATGAGCATCAGCCCAGTCGCCCGTGCCAGCGCTCACCAGAGGTTGTTGTCCTTGTCCGTGTGCTCAGGGAGGGGCTGGGCTCTCCCACGGGCACCAGGGAGCTTCTCCTGCAGGGCTTTGGCTGCTCCGGGGGTCCTGCCAGGCACCGGCTGCCCGTTCACGGCGACGTGGCACGTGGTGGCACGGGCATAGAGCTTGCTGAGCGGGCCGTGCCGGCGTTCTGCCGGGAGGGATGGGATGGATGGGATGGGATGGGATGGGATGGGATGGGATGGGATGGGATGGGATGAGATGGGATGAGGTGGGATGGGATAACCCCACTGTTAGCCCACACCAGAGCTCGCACTGCTGTGAGCCCCCTCCTGCCCATAGGCTGTACCCCCACAGCCAGCCCTGGTGGCATTCCCGGTGCTGTTCCCAGCACCAAGGGGTGGAATAGCCATTCCCCAAATTCCTTGGCTCACCACAGTGCTTCTGGAAGGCCTGGGGCTTCACCACCTGGCTGCAGTGGTTGCACACCACCAGGTAGAACTCGTCGTGCGCGGGGCAGTGCCCGAAGATGTCCATGTCTGTGGGGAGAGCTCAGTAAGCTGGCACAGGGCTGGTGCTGCTGGAGCACTGCAGACAAGGATCCCAGCTCACACAGCCCTGAAATGCTGGGTTTCACCCCAGAGAGGAGCTCACCTTCCTTAATCAGGGTCATGGTGTCCAGTTTCTTGCTGCCACTCTTGCCATTCTCCTCCAGCTCTGACCCCGATCCTGCCAGAGACAAAATCCTGTCAGTGGCTGGCACAGGGACGGTCCCGGTGCTCCCACACAGGGGTGGTCCTGGCATTCCTGCTCCTGGAACAATTAAACCAGAAAAATTATACCAGAGAGACACATCATCCTGTGAGTGACATCGCTGTGTGGTGTGTCACCATCTCCAGGGTCCCCATCCTGAGAGCCCAGTGCCAGCAGGATGTTCTTGGGGACATCCCAGTAGGGGATGTGACACTCCTGGGATGTGACATCCCTGAGACGTATTTGCCCTGGGATGAAACATCCCTGAGGACACCGTGGTGCTGGGATGGGACACCCCTGGAGACAGCCCCATCCTGGATGAGGTGTAACATCCCAGTCCTGGCACATGGCACCCCTGGGAACGTCCTGGTCCCAGGATGTGACACCCCTGGGTCACCCTGGTTCCCATACAGTCATGGCTCCACTGGCTGTGCCTGGGCTCTCTTCTGGGGGCACTGGTGGCCACTGAGCCAGTGGCAATGGCGACCTGGCCAACTGTGCCAAACTGGGTGCCCAGGCCATCCCCAGTCCTGTCAGGCCATGCCATACTGGGTGCCCAGTTCCATCCAGCTGTGCCACACTGGGTAACCAGTCCTGCCTGCCTGGCCATGCCATACTGGGTGCCCAGTGCCATCCAGCTGTGCCATACCGGGCACCCAGACCCATTGAGATGCACCATGACTGGTGCCCAGTCTGGGACAGCCAGTCCCAGTGCTGAGAGCTCACTGGGACACTCCAGAGCTCCCAGTAAGGAGCACCTGGCTCCCAGTGTGCCCTGCCCAGTTCCCAGAGCAGGATATCCCAGTGCCCAGCACGTGATGCCCAGTCCCCCACCAGGGGCTCCCAGTACCTCCTGCCTGGTCTGGGGTAATGGTGGCAACTAATTCCCAGTCCAGGCTCTCCAGTTACTGCTCTGCTCCCACCAGTGTCCACTGGATTCCACTGGAATCCAGGATGGGGCACCCAATAACGGGCACAGGGTTCCCAGTGGGCAGCCTGGGGTGCCTGGTGCCACATCGGTGCCCAGTTCATACTGCACAGATCCTGCTGCCCAGTTCCTGAATCCCAGTGCCCAGTGTGGCTGCCCAGTGCTTGCACAGGGTGCCTGGTTCCAGGTGCCCAGTGTCCTGTGCAAGGTTCCCAGTGTTTGGGCAACTTTTGTAGGATGCCCCATCCCAGTTTCCAACTGGAAACCAGTTTCCAACTGGTACCAGTTCCTGGTACCAGGTGCCATGTCTGGCTGTACCCCCAGTCCCGATTCCAGGTGCCAGATGCCCGGTGCTGGATGCCACATTCCCAATGCAGGAAGTGCCCATTCCCAGTTTCCAGTGCTCAGTGCTGGGTGCCAGGTTTGGATGTCCAGGGTAAGGTTCCCAGTGCCCAGTTCCTGTGCCCGGTACCATTGCAGGATATCCCACTCCCTTGGTCTGGTGCCCAGGGCTGGGTGCCCCATTCCTGTTTCTGCATGTTCTGGAGCAGGATGCCACATTCCCAGTGCGTGCTCACCAGTGCTGGGTGCCCAGTTCCCAGTGCTGGCTGTCAGGTGTGGATGCCCAGTGCCAGATTCCAGGTGCCCAGTGCAGGGTGCCCCATTGCCAATGTCTGATTCCCAGTGCAGGGTGCCCATTCCCAGTGCCAGTTTCCCAGCACAGGGTGCCCATTCCCAGTGCCAGGATCCCAGTGCAGGGTGCCCATTCCCAGTGCCAGTTCCCAGTGCAGGGTGCCCCATTCCCAGTGTCTGATTCCCAGCACAGGGTGCCCATTCCCAATGCCAGGATCCCAGCTCAGGTTGCCCATTCCCAATACCAGGATCCCAGTGCAAGGTGGCCATTCCCAGATCTGATTCCCATTGCAGGGTGCCCATTCCCTGTGCCAGTTTCCCAGTGCAGGGTGCCCCATTCCCAGTGTCTGATTCCCAGTGCAGGGTGCCCATTCCCAGTACCAGTTTCCCAGTGCAGGGTGCCAGGTCCGGCTGCCCTGTTCCCAGTGCCAGGTGCTAGTACAGGATGCTTCATTCCAGGTGTCCAGTTCCCAGTGCCAGGGAACAACCTAGGACATGCCAGGACAACCTGCACCAGGAACTGGGCACTGGGAATCCTGCCCTGGGCATCCAGACCCGGCACCTTCTGCCGTGCGCCCAGCTCCCGGTACTGGATGCCAGGTCTCGATGCCCAGTACAGGGTTCCCAGTGCCCTGTTTCCCAGTGTCCAGTGCAGGATGCCCCGTTCCCGGTGCCCCGTTCCCAGAGCAGAACGAGCCGGTGCAGAACCTGCTCTCGGTTCCCAGCGCCCGGTGGAGGATGCTCCGTTCGCGTTTCCCGGCTCAGGATGCCCCGTTCCCGGTGCCCGGTGCGGGATGCCCTGCTGCCGGTTCCCGGTGCCGGACTCCCCTCTCCCGGTGCCGTTGCCCGCCCGCCGCGCGGCGGCGCTCGGACCGGGGGTCGGCGGGCGCGGCCCCGGTCGCGAAGCCCCCCCCGCCGCCGCCGCCCTCACCGGTGTCGGCGGGGGGCCCGGCCCCCCC